CTTATCAATGCCTAATCTCACAGTGCTGACATGCTCGCAGCTGAAAAGGCACTCATGTCGCTACCTAGTCCACTGACTGCCTCAGACGAGTGGATAAAGCCCCGAGAAACCACCGTCGAAGTCGTCCGCGTCACTGCAGGCCTACATCGACAAGTTTGGGTCAGCGGAACCAGTCTCTACGTCGATGTTCATGTCGCCAACAACAGTCGCAAGCTAGTCAAAAAGATTGAGCTTCAGTTGGAGAGGGACATACTCTGCTACAAACACGTTTGTTATGCGAGCTTGACATACTTTCTTGTCATGATGCTAATAAGAGTGCGTTGTAGGTTGCTGCGGCTACGATGGAGAAGTCTGCGGGTCAGGCTCGCATCTTTGACAGCAACGAGCGGTCTATCCTCAGTAAAGCAGTCGTCAAGCATGGTTGTGCCGGCTGGAACGGTGTTTCTGCACAACAGACTCATATCAGGACCTGTGATCTCGAAATACCCCGTGGCCACGGTACGGTAAAGTGTGGTATGTACATTGGCGCGAAGTCGTGTACTCGGTCCCTAACCAAGACAGGCAAATACTTTGAAGTCAGATACTTCTTGAATGTCATTGTAGCCAGCGGGCACACGTCAGTCTTGTCGTCACTATCACTGATCAAGCTGACTCCCTGCAGAAAGCTCGTCACCGTTCAACTACCAATCGTTCTCATCCACATGGTGCGTTGCACTATCATCCTCCTCCGCATCCACTAATAACCACACCCTCAGAACTCTCTCGACGTGGTCCCCAACTCCGTCGCCCAAGTCGCCATGGCCATAGAAGAAAAGCGCACAGCCCGCCATTCTCCACCGCGCCTGGGCCGCCGCCCATCCCAATCCGTCCAAGGCCGCGCTTTTGCAGCACCGCGCATGCAATCCTTGGAACGCATGCGCGCACGCGACGAAGCCATCCAAGAGCTCGGCCAAGCTCTCGAGCAAAGCCCCCGCAAATATGGTCTCCGCCGCGCAAACTCCAACTTCGACTACCGCACCCCGCCCTCCAACCGCAAAGGCAGAATCCTAGGCGACGGCGAAGCAGCAGATCTCCAGGACCGTCTGCGTCGTGTAAGATCGAATGAAACGATTGGATCGCGACCACCCACCTTACACAAAGTCAACTCTACGCGATCGAGACGAGGCGCTGCATCGGCTTTTGGATTCCGCGAAGCAGAGGTTCGAGAAGACATCGAACTTGGGGGGCTGGGTGCATCGGGTGATGGGCCATTGAAGGAGAGGTTGGAGAGAACTAGTGATCGGCAGTATCGGTTCAGCAAGAAGAAGAGCGTGGAGAAGTGGAAGGGTGTAGCGAATGTGGGGGTTGGGTGGTTGAAGGGGAGTGGAGTTAAGGATGATAGGGAGAGGGAGGGATGGGTGTGATGTGAGCACTTTGTGACCTTTGATGGGCCTCTTGTACGTTGGATAGCGCGTACGTTACGTCGAATGATGATACTTTACCCTTCAGTTCTGCTTGACTGTGCTATCGTCGCATACGATGAAGATCTAACAAGCACTCGAAAAACATAGTCAAAAATAGACGTAATGTTATTTGAATAAGCCTGTGTTTATAACAGCCTAGATGCTTTCATATATGATACAATCATATCTCATAGTAGTCATTAATCCCCTCTTCATCTTCCTTATGCAATATCATACAGTATTATACACGGCGTGTCGAGGTAATCGTAACAGGAAGACTCGCGCAATGGTAGAGCGTCGTACAACTAGAAAGCTCATGACCTGCTCTTCGCGAGCTCAGACTGAGCAGTCGACGTAGGACCACCCTTGACGCGCTCTCCACCAGTAACCTTCTTCTCTCCCTCAGTAATGTCGTGTAGCGCCTCGCTAGTAATGGGCTCCTTGGCGTGACTCTGCGCCTGCGCAGTGGGACCTCCAGGTACGGGACCGTCCTCGCCCGTGAGCTTCTTCTCCGCATCGGTGATCTTGCTCAGCGTCGACGAGTCTAGCTTTCCTGATGCGTTGGAAGTGTTGGCGCCAGTAGTGTTGTTGTTGTTGTTGGAAGGTGCTGAGCCTGATGTGAGAGCAGACTGAGCGATGGATGTAGGACCTCCTTTCATGACTTCATCGGAACCAGTGAGGACCTTCTCACCCTCGGTGATGTCGTGGATGACTTGTGCGGTAAGGTTCTGGCCAACGTGCTGCTGGGCTTTCGCGGTAGGGCCGCCCTTGTGTGGCTCGTCCTTGCCGGTAATCTTCTTCTCGGCAGCGGTGATCTGCGAGATGAAGTTGGAGTCGACCTGGACAGCCATGATGCGTGTTGTTGTGAAAGCGCGGTGGTTGCTGAGGTCGTTGATATTGCTCTTGAGCGGTGCTCTTTGCGATGTAATGCGAGCTGCTGGTCGTGCTGCGAGGAAAACGTTGCGGTTGATACGGAGGAGTCTGGAAGCCATTGTTGCTGCTTGTTTATATGCCGATGGGATAGTGAAGTGGAAGGTGCGAAGGTGTGGGCTGTACACGCTGAATATGTAGTGTGATGGAGTACTGATGTAATGCGAAATTGATATCGTCTGAGGTGTGCGCTCAACGTGACGTTTACTATGGGGAAAGATGGATTGCAATGCGCATTTGCAACTTGTCGGTCTGCCCGTGCACCACAAATCTCTGCATCAATGGCGACGACATCATGCTGATGACCCTGAGATGCAGGTACCACATCTCCGATGGACGCGGCGACTGTGCGATGCGCGCGCATGATGTGGTGGAGCCATGATGTCAGCATTCTGGGGAACTGCGGCCATGACGATTCGGGTGCACTAGCGGTGAGCTAACATGGCGATGCGATTTAGGGGTCCAGATGCAGAATTCACAACATCAACTACGAAGCGATCAATACAGAACGCAGTTGCTCAGCTATTGAAGGGTCTATATTGCAGGCGTAGTTCACTTCGGTCTGACGCTTCGGAGATTGCGGAATTACCGGCTTTGGTGGCGCATGTCAGACCATACGAGGTTCTCGCCCATTGCTTGATTGCAACGCCATTGGATATTAGCAAGTATCGTTTCGGTCGCACCTACTTGTACGGCATGCGTTACGCCTTGCTACGTTGTGTATATACGGCCAATTGCTCCGGTATGGCATTCGCGGCGATAAGGCCTGCGACGGAACGACTGCCAGGCCGCTGCTGCAGAAGCTGGCAGCCATATAAGAAGAGTTGGTGCATTAGATGCTACGTGCATGAAGTTTACAACAGGACAAGAAACTATCTCATCGCTGCGTAGCTCTTGCGAGTTAGGTTCCTAGCTTATTGCTACACTTTCATAATGTCATTCATCAACCCAGCCGCACCCGTGTCACTCTTAGGCAGACATCGTATCCTCAGTCCTACGGCAGCCGTCCGGGTCTCGCCTCTTTGCCTCGGTGGCATGAATTTCGGCGAAGCATGGAAAGCCACTCTCGGAGAATGCACTAAAGAAACGGCCTTTACAATGCTGGATTACTTCTACGAGCAAGGCGGGAATTTCATCGACACCGCCGTTAACTACCAGTTTGGCGAGAGCGAAGAGTGGATTGGTGAGTGGATGGAGGATCGAGGTGTCAGAGATGAGATGGTACTCGCGACCAAGTTCACCGGTATGCAGATCACCGAGAGAGAAAAGGAAGGCGGTACGAGGTGCAAGAGTAACTATGGAGGTAATAGTGCGAAGAACATGCATACAAGTATTGAGCGTTCGCTGAAGGCGCTCAGGACTAGCTATGTCGATATCGTGAGTTCCTTCTTCGGGCTCTGTATTCCGCTACGACTGTCGTGATTAACTGCCTCATAGTACTACGTTCACTTGTGGGACTCAACAGCCTCCATACCAGAGCTAATGAACGCTCTCAACGGCCTCGTCTCCTCCCGTCGAGTGCTCTACCTAGGCATCTCCGACACCCCCGCCTGGATTGTAGTAAAAGCCAACTGTTACGCCCGCCAACACGGTCTCCGCCAATTCTCAATCTATCAAGGCCGCTGGTCCGCCGCTGACCGTTCCTTCGAGCGCGAAATCATCCCAATGGCACTAGACGAAGGCATGGCCCTTGCACCATGGGGCGCTATTGGCGGAGGAAGCTTCAAGACGAGTGCGCAGAGAGAGAACCCAGAAAACGGCGGCAGAAAAATGAAGATGATGGTCATCGGCAACGAAAAAAAGGTCAGCAACGTGCTCGAAGATATCGCAAACGCAAAGTCTCCGGTCCCGCCTATCACTTCCGTCGCTCTCGCATACGTCATGCACAAGTCACCTTACGTCTTCCCCATCGTCGGCGGTCGCAAGATTTCGCATCTCGAGGGTAACATCCAGGCTCTTGGTTTGAGTCTTACGCCAGAGGAGATCCAGCAAATTGACGCGGCTTATGGCTTCGAAATGGGGTTTCCGCATCAGTTCCTGAATCCAGAGAATACGGTAATTATGGGACCGGAGGATAATCGATTCGCGAATAATATGGGTGTTCTTGATCATGTCAAGAGGCTGAAGCCAATTCCGCCGCACCAGGGAGCGGTAGATGAAAAGTGACTGGTCCTTGCGTTGGAGCAGGCGACGTGGTGTTCGCCGGCAAGAGATTGCGTACGTTAGCCCGTAGAGACTACGAAAGGTGAATGGGATAAGGCACACACTACAAAGCCGGAGCGCGAAGGCTTCAGAAGCTTTCCTATTATAGAGACTGGAGAGAAAATTCAGCCTGTAACTTTCCTCTTCCACCCTCGTCATTAAAGTCCGGCCGCCTAACCCAGGCGTCGATTGCAACTGCATTCATTCACTTTTGTGTGTGCCAAGGAACGGGGTTGCAGCCTTCGCCTCCTCCTGCTAGTCGCGATCCGTTTGTACCTCTTCATGCACCGTTATAATCGCTATCTTGACTCCAGCCGGGAACGAATGTCCTTCGACGCCAACTTCAAGTACCTACTAAGCCCAGAGTATGATTGCATCAACACTTCTCAATGTCGAGATTAACTCAAACAGAAGGAAGAAGTAATCATGGCTTCGTTACCACTCCGTTCCGCCAGCGCCAACGTTCGCGTAGACGACAAGGTCTGGGACATGATCTTCCCTGACGCAAAGACCGAGAAGCACCAGAACAAGGGTGAAAATACCGCTCAGTCCACCGACCTGATCACCGCCAAAGACATCGACATCCGAGACTGGCCCTTTGCAGACCGCAAGAGACTCGAGTCCGAGTACGACCGCATTGAGGTCTTCATCGACGCCGAGCTCATTACAACAATCTCAAAGCCACTGTTTCGAGCGGCTTCGACAAAGACCAGCGAAGTCCTCGTAGATGATACAGTCATGCTACCCGCAGCCGTTGATGCGGATGCAGTGTCTCGACTCATCAAATACATCGAGGACATCGTTGCGAATCCGACCAAGTCCCCGCCATTCGTCCTTTGTCTACCCATGACAACATCTCTGGACGTATGTGCTGCGGCCTCGGCCCTCGGAATGGACAAATACGTCGATGATCTATACGCCCAGTGCGAAGACCTTCTAAGAACAAGCCTACCCTCGTGGGCGACCATCGAAGCCATCACTTCATATGCGACAATAACACCGCACTTCCCCCGCCTCTTCCGCATCATGATAGCCGGCCTCGCCAAACGCGTCTGGAACGAAACAGCCTCCAACGTGGAAGTCTTTCAGATCCAGCTTACTCCCGTCCTCGAAAAGGCGGTCGCGAAGGTGAACGAGAAATACAGGACCCTTTCTCAAAGAAGGCAGATGTACGAGAGACATAGGCGCTTTTCGCTCAGAATGGTAGCAGCTGGGTATGGAGAATGGGATTGGGGGCGGAAGGTGGTTGGGAAGAAAGATGAGGCGGGGGTTGAGTGGGATGAGTATCATGGGCCTGCTAGGAGATCACATGTGTGAGGCGATTTTCCAACTACTAAAAAGTAAGAACACTATATAAGTCGTCCATATGGGATTTACCCTAACGAGACCGACGTAAGAAATCGCCCGCGACGGGCATCCACTCATGCTCACCTCCCCTTGTTCAACACTCATTTACCCTTCGCAATAGCCTCAAAAGCATACCCCCTCGCCTTCCCCGTCTCCTTCATCCTCCACCCCTCAATGTACCCCTCCACATCCTCACATCCATTCTCCTCTCCGGGAACAGGCTCCCCCCACGTCCCCCAATACGGCACAACACCCGTCCAAGTCTTCTTCACCAACTCCTTATCCTTAAGATCATTCCTATCCTCACTCGGCCCGCCGGTCCGTATCTTTGCGCTTGCCTGATACCACACAAACAATGTTAGCACAGAAAAGGCAACGTAGTAGGAAAGAACACCAATATCTATGCAAAGAGATGGAGGGAGAGAGAGGCAAAGAGGAGATAACCTACACTCTCAATCCTAACCCTAAGTATACTCGTACTCTTCAACTCCGCACTACTCGGGGGCACCCTACTCTTCTCCCAGCGCTCCGGCAATATATTATCAGTAATAGCTTTCATGGCGTACAGCGCCTCGTCTGCGTCTTGGACGAGTTCGGCGTAGCCGTAGACGATGGCGGAGCGGTAGTTGCAGGAGTTGTGGAAGGGGGTTAGGGAGAGGACGAGGCCGTCGAGGAGGCTGGCGGCTATGGTTATGGGGAGGCCGGGGGTGGAGGTGTCTTTTGAGGACTTGAAGATGCGGCCGGAGACGTAGCCGTGGATGTAGAGGGATTGTGGGGTGCTTGAGGGGTTGGCGGATTGGTCCTGTGCGGTTAGGTTAGCATATTGATGTTTTCATGCTTTTGCTGTTGTGGGATGGTGGATGGTGGGAGGGAAGGAATTGACGTACCTCGTAGTTACCCGTACATCCCAGCATTGGCAAGACGACCGGGAAAGGATGCTCTGGATCCACGAAGGAGACGTGGAGGATTGGACAGGCGTTTACTAGACTGTGGATTGTTGCGTAGTCATACGTGCCTGAGTTTATTGGTGTGAGTACGCGATTTCAAGTACGCAAGAGTGCGAAGGAGATGAACGTACCTCGATTCGCCAATCGACCGAGTTTGTTGACGGCAGTTTTGGGATACTCTGGCGATGCCATTGTGTAATTTCTGTTGCTGGATCTTCTAAGTGACTTCGTTCTGACCGCAAGGAAAGATTGGCAAGAGAGAGAGAGAGAGAGATGCTGAGGTCTGAAGTTGAACTGAAAAGCAACAGTATGCGAGGTTCAATCAAGCTTTGTACTCTTCCCTCTAAGTTTTCTGTGACTCTTAACCCGTGACTCCTTCACCACACATATATGCACAGACGTACGACGCTCATCAGGCAAGCCGTCAACGGGTTGTACACGTCCAATGGGTCTGGAGGATGACGGCACCCGGCAGGACTTACTGCATGCGGAAGCGGGGCCGTAATCGTGTGAGTAATCATTGGTTGATAGTGTTGGCTGTTCGCGACTGCCATAACTCGCGTACACGTTTACGCGTGTAGGGCGTCTAGAAGTGTGAGTAGTCGCATTCCATTGTACGTACCGCGGAACATTGGCTGCGGATACTTCGGGGTATCCACGGCCTGTATACAAACCAGAGCTGCAAGTATGAGGCGATAGTATTCCATATCCATCTATGATACTAGACAGAGTACAACATGTAGTCAAAGTAAACCTAGTCCCAATCCAATCCGGGAGAGCCTCAATGGGCGATGCAGTCCAAAAGTCCAAATCCAAAACTCCGTTCCATGCAATTCTTCTTCCGCTCTTCTTGACTCATTCTCCAGTCTATCATCTGAAGCTCCACGCCGTCCTCAGCCCACCGTTGACGCTCTCCAACTTCAAACACTGATACGGACTGCTCTGCGGATCATAATACAACCCTTCCAGCATCCCGCTTCTCCGGTCAAGCGCCACGTAGTAGAAGCCGCTGATGGTAAGCCCGCAGCCTGAGTCGTCGAATGTCGCTTGTTCGGCGTCGTTCGTTACGGAGTTGAAGAGGGGCTGTGGTGTGATTTCGACTTCGGCACGGCCAGTTTGCGCGTTGCGGACTATGCGGTAGGGCGAGGGCTGGAGTTGCGAAGTATGCGTGGAGGTAGGAGCGGCGGGTGCGTAATTGGAGGAACCTGTCGAGGCCCAGGGGTTGGACGGTGGAGGGTCGGCGGAGAACGAGGAAGGTATCGTGGTGGAGGGTGGTGGCTGAACGGGGTCAGGGGTGCTGCGGTTCAGGCTCTTTACAAAGCATCGTTCTTTCCAGCGCATGAGTATCCAGTTCTGGCCCAGGACTTCGGTGAGCCACTTCTTGCTCGTCAGGGCCCTGACCACGTCTTCGTCGCTCATCTTCTGGAAGGGGGGCAGTTTGCGCCAGTATGTTGCGTCGTTTGCGGCGTTCGATTTGAAGGATTCGGTGAGGAGGGTGTAGTTGTTGAAGTCGAGGATTTCGCCTTCGAGGTAGGTTGTAATGGAGGAGGTGCGCGTGACGGACGGCGTGGCATTGCTGGGAGGAAACATGGTGTGCGGATGCGGGTGGGAAGGTACGTTATACGCTTCCATGGTTGCGGAGAGAGACATTTGCTCCCAGTCCACGTCGTGTATGGTGACCTTGACGGGCCATCGGTCTTGGTGCGGTTGTGCGTCGGGCTGCGAGTTTCGGCTGGTGGAGACTTCGCTGGGATTCCATATCCAGGGTCGGATGGGCGGTGGTAGTCCCGTGTGCCGGCTGTATGTGGTGGTGACGGCAGCGGGCATGGTCGTCGCATGCTGACAGCCCGAGAGTATCGCGCCCGGTGCCAGCCATGAGGTCTCGGTGGGCGGCGGTATGGCGAGGGTGTTTGCGACGAAGTCTGCGTGCTGCAGGAAGAAGTCCTTGGTCAGGAAACCGGCGTCTCGCGCACGCTCCCAGCTCTCGTCGTCGTCGCGCGAGTGGCGTATGCGCGACAGGTACTTGACGGTCTGCTCCAGCATGGGCGAGGTGCGGGCCTCGGAGTCTCGGTGCGAAGACATCTGACGGGCGGAGCGTTCTCGCTGGACGGTTTCGGGGAAGAGGCTGGACCTCGCGGCAAGCATGTCTCGGAGGCTGCGGTGTGAAGCGTGGCGTGGCGGTGTTTCGCTGCTGGTGGCGGCTTCCCTGGTGCGCGCTGAGAAGCGTGGATGGCGGCGCACGCCTGCAGACTGGAGGATGGCCGTCGACCTCAGCGAGCTCTCGGGCGCGCCCGGGGCCTCTGTCGCCGGCGACCAGTCATACAGGCTGTTCTGACTGGGCACGCGGTCGCCATAGTTGTTGTCGCTGAGACGGGAGAGGCGACTCATGACGCGGCGCAGGCGGTCCCGCTGCTCCAGCTCGTCTCGCTGCCTTTCCAGCAGGCGCAATCGCTCCTGGGACCGGTCCAACCGCGCCTGGTCGCGCTCACGTGCGGCGCGGAGATAGTGGATGTGGGCGCGTTCGATGTCGTCGTCGCTGGGAATGCCTTGTTCGTCCGTCGGGGTGCCCAGCGTGGCGGCGAGGTTGAGCACGTCGTCGTTTACGGGGCTCTCGAGCTCGCGCAGGGCCGAGATGAAGGTGGGTTCCGCGTCGTCCTATTGAGCGGCTACGTCAGTCATGCACTTGACCACGGCTATGTGACAGCACTGCACCGGCGACATGTGGACGGGTGCTTACAGGCGAGTTGGCGGGCGGCATTATGACCAAGCAGGCGGCGCAGCGGGCATGGCGGGACGGAGCGATGGATGAGCTGTCGCATGCAATGCACGACGTCGGATGCACGATGTCTCAAGAGCAAAGGCGTGTCCTCGGCGAAAGTGACGCGACATGTCAAACTCTTAAGCCTGAGCCATTGCCCCGAAAAACCAAAGACAGCTTTGCCTGGCCACCGTCACGGCACCTGATAACGCACGCCATCTCGCCATGCACTTCCCCCGTTGTCCCGCTGTTGGCTTCCGCTCCGCCCTGCCAATAGTCGGCGCAGAGAGGCATGCCGCACAACTCAATGCATTCCTCGCTTGCCCCAGATTTCCCTTGTCAGTCCCGCGGGCATGGTTGGTGGTCTGTGCGTCAACAATAACCTCAACTACCTAGGTACCATCACATTGACGACGCATGATGCTACAGCCCATCTAATAGCAGGCAGTCAGTCTTGCCGCAGAACTAGGCAATGGTTACTTTCAGCATCTACATACGCGCTAGCACCCCAATCAAAACCTCATCACGACAGTCGCTCCTTCCTCTCCAACTCCTCCAACACCACCAGAATCCTTCCCACCAACTCCGCAAACTCCCCATGATCCCTCCACTTATAAGGCCTCAACCTCGCTTTACTCGCCCGTACCAAATGCATCAACTTCCCCCTCAACTCCCTCCTCGGCTCCTCATTCGTACACATCGGAAACCTCAAATCCAACAACGCACTCTCCGCCGTCTCCACCATGGTCTTGCTACACCACACATGGAACCCATGCATAATCACATCCTCCAGACTCAGCGGCGCGTGCACAGTTCCTGGTGGCATAAGTAATAAATCCCCTTTCTTGAGGTAAATAGGAAAGCCGGGTTTGTTTGGCGCGTACTGAAGACCAGCTTGCCGCGACACAGCCCATTCCTCGCGTTCAGAGGGGGAAAGCGACCACGTGAACCAGAGTTTCGAGCCAGTCTCACACAACACGCCGGTGTAGAGGCCGTGTTCGTCAACGTGAGGGAAAGACCATGCGCCTCGTTTGCCCCAGAGCGCGAACCCAGTTTTACTAGAGAGATCGCTGGGGTTCGGGTCGGAGTGGTTGGACATGCCACCGTTTTCCGTCGCTTCGGATAGGATGCTGTAGTCGGTGAGATTGTCGAGCTCCCAGGGTAAGACGTTTTGACGTACGGGCCGTATATCGAGCAGATTTATCGGGAGGGCGGTGGGGTCGGACACGCGCTTTAGGGCGGTGGAGATAGTGAGCCGGCGGGTT